ATATATTATATTATTATTTATATATATATATATATATATATAAAATAAAATATAAAAAATATATAAAATATATATATAAAAATATAATATTTAGTAATTTATTTCCGGAGAAGGGGGTTTCTAGCCCCTTGCTCCCCCCATTTTTGTCGGGCCCCTTTCAACACGCATGGGGTTGCAAAGGAAGAATTATGTTTCCACTTCCCCCTGGGGGAAAAAGAGGAAATAAACAAGAACAAGAACAATAAGAAAAAAAGAAGAAAACCCCGAGGGGCGTGCCCTATTATGCTTGAAAATTTTTGGGGTAAAAAGGGGACCTAAGTTAATAAAAGTACAAGACTTTTCCTGAAAAACTTGCATGCTTTTGAGAAAAAAAAAAAACAAACCCGCAACCCAAAACCCTTTATGTAAAAAAAATTACAGGCTTTCGTTTTAAAAACCCACTTGGGGGAGGGAGTACCTCCCCGGGGGGTTGCTGGGTTTTCCAACCTACTACCTAATTATAAATATATATAAAAAATAATATATATTATATATATAAATATATTTGCAAAAAGATCACAGTTCCTTATAATTTGAAAATCACTGGAAAGAACAAAACACACACACACACACACAGGGCTGGGGGTTCCCCCGACCCCTGAAAACCCAAAATTTGGTGATATACACACAAAACACTTTGGTCTTCGTTTTTTATTTCCCTACCTGGCCGGGGTATAAGGCCCACATCAACATTACAAAAAAATTTAAAAGGGAAAAAAAAAACCCAAGCATTTTCCCCCATAGTGAAACTCTTCATCGTTTTTTTGTTAAATATTTTTTTTCCCTTTGCTTACTTTTTTCGGGGGGGGGGGTTTCCCTTTTGACTCGTCCCCCTGCAAATTTAAACAGTTTTCCTTGTAATAATAATAATTATTTTTTTTATCTTTCCTTCATCACTTAGTACTCACTAATATTTAATCAAACATACACTCAGCAACAGTAACTGTATTTCCTGGTATTGAAATACGAGTTTTAAGGTGGTTTTTCTGGAGCTTTGAGATGTTTGTTACCTCGCATCAACATCTCACGAGTCTCAGTATTTTTCCTCGTTACTTCCTCTAACTCTTTCCTTAATTATCTTTCCTGGTGTACGTCGCATTTATTCCTCGTTTGTATCGAAACTTTGGTCAATTAATGGAAATAAATATTATTGCTTGATTTCCTTAGGTTTGCTTAGGATACCTTCTGTAATTGTGAAACATTGTAAAGTTGAATTTTGTCACGAGGCTTAAATGAAATGACCATGCTGGACTGTTATCATCTTGAGGTAGGTTGCTTACGCTGTGCTTGCTGCTACAATGATCTCTGCGCTGTGTTTGCTGTTTACAATGTCTCTGCTGCGTGTTGCTGCTACAATGATCTCTGTGCTGTGCTCGCTCTACAATGATCTCTCCTATTGTGCTGGCTGCTACAATGATCTCTGATGCTGTGCTTGCTGCTACAATGATCTCTCCTATTGTGCTGGCTGCTACAATGATCTCTGCTGCTGTGCTGGCTGCTACAATGATCTCTGCTGCTGTGCTGGCTGCTACAATGATATCTGCTGCTGTGCTGGCTGCTACAATGATATCTGCTGCTGTGCTTGCTGCTACAATGATCTCTGCTGCTGTGCTGGCTGCTACAATGATATCTGCTGCTGTGCTTGCTGCTACAATGTTATCTGCTGCTGTGCTTGCTGCTACAATGATCTCTGCTGCTGTGCTGGCTGCTACAATGATATCTGCTGCTGTGCTGGCTGCTACAATGATTACTGCTGCTGTGCTGGCTGCTACAATGATCTCTGCTGCTGTGCTTGATGCTACAATGATTACTGCCGCTGTGCTGGCTGCTACAACGATATCTGCTGCTGTGCTTGCTGCTACAATGATCTCTGCTGCTGTGCTGGCTGCTACAATGATCTCTGCTGCTGTGCTTGCTGCTGCAATAGTCACTACTGCTGTGCTTGCTGCTACAATGATCTCTGCTGCTGTGCTGGCTGCTACAATGATCTCTGCTGCTGTGCTTGCTGCTACAATAGTCACTACTGTTGTAGTCGTTGCTACAATAGTCACTACTGCTGTAGTCGCTGCTACAATATCACTACTGCTGTAGTCGCTGCTACAATAGTCACTATTGCTGTAGTCGCTGCTACAATAGTCACTACTGCTGTAGTCGCTGCTACAATAGTCACTACTGCTGTAGTCGCTGCTACAATAGTCACTACTGCTGTAGTCGCTGCTACAATAGTCACTATTTGCTGTAGTCGCTGCTACAATGTTATAGCTTGCTTGCTGCTGCAATAGTCACTACTGCTGTAGTCGCTGCTACAATAGTCACTGCTGCTGTAGTCGCTGCTACAATAGTCACTACTGCTGTAGTCGCTGCTACAATAGTCACTACTGCTGTAGTCGCTGCTACAATGATCACTACTGCTGTGCTTGCTGCTGCAATAGTCACTACTGCTGTAGTCGCTGCTACAATAGTCACTGCTGCTGTGCTCGCTGCTATGAGTCACTGCTGCTCTGGTCTGTTACAATGATCACTGCTGTTGTGCTTGCTGCTACAATGGTCGCCACTGCTGTGGTCACTGCTACAATGGACACTGCTGCTTTTTCCCCTCACAGTCACCCAAGGAAACCATCTCATTAAATATCCTAATACTTCACTTCATCCACTGTAGTCGATATTTATCCTCTGTAATGGATCGAAAAAGGGCCACTGATTGATGAACAGGGGGCAGTCAGGCAATTAATTATTTTATTTTTTTGTTTACCGTCCAATTTCCTCCAGTTTCGGTGCACAAGACAAAGTGTTTTCACTCTTTCTTGAAAATATTGATCAAAAATATACCTCAAACAACAACTGAGAAAAGACTGAAAAAGGACTGATTTGCTGAAAATGCCCTTTGGCACGGTGGTAGGCGTATATGGGACGACGTAAGGTTGTTTGGACACTTGGTGCCAAGAGAACAATGCTTATACGAATTTGTAATTATTACCTTTCCTCTAAATAACTTATCTTTATTTCACAAAAAAAATAAAGTTTGTTAGTTCTTGGAATGTTGCAGAAAATCTGCCCTTTACTCCCACATAACTCCCAAAGTATTTGGAATATTTCCAAAAATGGCCCGAAGGAAATTAGAGAAATCATTATTCTACAATTTCTGTGAATATTATTCCATTTAATTAAGTAATAAAGGAAGAAATAGGTACATTAGGTGAATAAGTTACTTCCGAGATATTGGCCTGGAACGCCGGCCGTCCACCGTCTCAAAAAAAAAAAAAAAAAAAAAAAAATCGCGAAAATCGCGTTTGTTTAGGTGTATTTCTTAGTAAACTAATGTTCTAGTGCAGTTATCCTCTTCAAAACACCGTTTTCTCTTACTCAAAGACATGGAGAAGAGTAACTCATTTATATCGAAATATTTCCGATGGTCTCTCGCCATATTATGGCCTATTTTATTCAGTCTAGAGTATATAACATGTTTGTATGTTATTTATAGTGTTTATTATATCATATTAGATCAATTCTGAAAGATAAATAAGCCGCAGAGTTGATATATAAGTTGATATAAGCGTAATAATGAAGTGATTTCTCATGGCACTCTCTGGAGCGGGAATATGGCCGAGGGTTCCAAGATGGTTTCTGATTGGCTGGCACTCTACGGATAAGCTCCGCCTACTTTTAAATGATACCAAATAGTCAATTATATTAGAAAGAATAATGCAAGAAAAAGCTATAAAAAACAAGGAAAAAATTCCGAAAAATATATGGGCTGTGAGCAGACGTGCTACCCATATCGCCATCACCATACCTGATATAAATGACTATAATTTCTTGTAGAAACATCGTAGAACATTCATTCTGGTACCATTGTGTTGCCAAAGAGTTAAGCTATTTTTCGGTATATATCTCAATTTCCATAATTTTTCGATTTTTTTGAGCGCGCGGAAAATTGTCCTACCCTTAGCTTCTCCATTAGTAAACATACTCACGTGTCTTGTTAATCAGATATGTCCTAGTGTTTACTCACATGTCTCTCTGAGCCATTTGGAAACAGCATTCTGAGATGTATCTTGAGTGATATACTTGAACCAGTCAGCAGATGTAGTCTAAGTTTGCAGTAAAGCAGTTGAAGAATCTTAGAATTATTTTTCATTAAATGCATCACACAATTGACGAGTGCGAGGCTAAAGGAGTAAAAGGTCAGGGGAAACATTACCAAAAAAAAAGAAGGAAAAAACGTGATGACTAAATGACGCATGAATTCAATAACATAAAAAAATCAATAATAATAATATTAATTAATAATAATAATAATAATGAACAACAATAATAATAATAATAATAATAATAATAATAATAATAATAATAATAATAATAATGCCTCACTACTGCTTGTAAATCCATTCATAGATATTCTTAAACTTACCATAATTTCTCTGACTCAGACCGAGACATTTTTAAGGTTTAAAAAAAATGCATATACATGAAATATAAAGTAGGTATATTTTCTTTAATACAAACAATTAAGGCCTAAAATGTACCAATTTCTCAATTAAGGACTACAAAATGAAAAAGAACAAAACGCAAAAAGTATGGAATTACTCTTTGGAGAACCAGTCATATTTTTGACTAGAATGAACTTTACCTAGAGTATACCTGGAGGATGTTCCGGGGGGTCAGTGCCCCCGCGCCCTGGCCCATCATCTTCCTTAGTAATGGTTTGTTATTTTTTATTTTGTCATAAAATTCGCTGCTTAAATCAATGTTTATTCTGCAGTACATTAGCCATTTTAGTGTAGATTCAGTCACTGTACCTCTCTCCAGAGAAGATGAAATTTGTTTTTCTTTAATTTTTATTGTTGCGATCTTTTTGTTCTGAGAAAATGACAAACTAACCTGGAATTCAGGACAGAACTTTGATACCAGGGCAATCCCGGTCAAAACGGGTAGTATGGGAAACCCTGATACTGAGTATTGTTAATTAAGTTATTTACTGCTGGAGACCGAGCAGCAGAGTTCAATACGGCGTCATTTGTGGTGGCCCTGTATACCACCAACAACAACAACAACAGAAGTATCTGTCAGTAGAAATAAAAACATATTATCAACTTCGTGAAGTTGATAAACGAACATATAATGCATAGTGTAGGAGATAATTCCTCAGACACACAAGAAAGACTGTATAAAATGCTTGAGAAACTGCAGACTCTAGCTCGAGATATTCCACCGTAAGTTTCGAATTAAGTGATATAATTTAGGATTATTTAGGGAATCTACATATTACTTTGCTGACAGTTTTATGTGTACATAGTGTTTCAGTAATCATATGTATGTTATAGACAAATATTGTTGGTAAATCATTCAGGACCTAATGAGGTACCAAAGATTCAGACTTCGAGTAAGTATAACGTAAGATTTGTTAAGTAAGTTTATTCAGGTATACATAAATACATTTACATTGATTATCATACATAACAGCATATGTGTAGAGAAATTATAATAGCCCCAAAAAGCCAGACTTATTTTGGATTTTTAACTCTGGAAGGGTTAGCTACCCAGGATAACCAAAGAAAATCAGTGTGTCATCAAGGACTGTTTGTCTTATTTCCATTGTGGTCCTTCAGTCTTGCCCCCCAGGATGCCTACCCACACCAGTCAACTAAGACCTAGGTACGACTGATTGCTAGCTGAACAGGGACAGCAGGTATAAGGAAACATGCCCAACGTTTCCACCTGGCCGGTGATTGAACCATGGACACTCAGTCTGATTTAAAAAAATACAGTCATTTTTTATTTCAGGTCCTGGTCCAGTTCATTGATAATTTATTCCTTATTATGCCCAATAATATTTATCCATGAGATTATTTTCAAAACCAGTTTGGATGTGCTCTTCAAATATGTAAACAGCAGAAATTTTGGTGCGTGTCTTATTTTTACTTTCCAAAGAAATGCCAAATAGCATTTTTGATGGTATTCATGAAAAAAACTGCTACTCACAAGGTCCCATTAACAAATATTTGAATAAATGCACTGCAGTTGCACTAAAACTAACAATCTATTCAGTGTTTCTTCAAATAGTGCATATTACATATACAGTGGACCCCCGAGTTTCGGCAGCCTCGACTTTCGCGAAATTCGACCTTCGGCGAGTTTTTTTGGAAAAATTTGGCCTCGAGTTTCGTGAAAAAACTCGTGTTTTGGCGACTGTCCAGTACCCGTCCACCCGTCACTGTGCACACAAAGCCAGTCTCCCACGCTATTCACGCTCAGTGTGCCATTGTTTACCAACACGTGACCATCACCCCGCGGGTTCATACAATACATTTCATAATAATCCATTGTTTTTTGTGCTTGCAACTGCTAAATAAGTCATCATGGACCCAAGGAAAGCTAGTGCAAGCCCTTTGGTAAATAAAGTGAGTGACGGGGATGTGGAAGAGTTGGTGGAGGACCACAGGAAAGAGCTAACCACTGACAAACTGCAAGAGCTTCAACTGAAACAGCATCAGACCACAGCCGAGGAACTTGCTTCAGAGGAGGAGGAAGAGGGAGTGGATGAGGTGCCTTCTTCAGTGATTAAGGACATGTGTGGAATGTGGAATGAGTTGCAAAGTTTTGTTGAAAAGTATCACCCTGACCAAGCTGAAACAAGCCGTATCTACAACGTGTACAATGACAGTGTTGTGTCCTACTTCAGGGAAATCTTAAAGAAATGCCAGAAAAAGACCTCTCTGGATAGATATTTTGTGTGCCAGGGGTCCAGTGACTCAAGTTGTTCCCAGTGGCATTAAAAGAAGAAGGGAAGTAACCCCAGATAAGGACTTGCTACCTAAAGTCCTAATGGAAGGAGATTCTCCTTCCAAACAATAGTGTACACCTTCCTCCTGTCACCTCCTCCCATCCTCCATTCATCCAGAAGTCTTCAGTAAAGGTAAGTGTAATGTTATTATTAATTATTTTAAATGCATGTACTTGATTTCTGATTGTTTTCATTATGTAAATCTTTATTTAATTTGAATATTTTTGGGTGTCTGGAATGGATTAATTTTATTTCCATTATTTCTTATGGGGAAAATGGTTTCGAGTTTCATGAATTTCGACCTTCGGCGGGCTCTCTGGAACGGATTAATCACGAAACTCGGGGGTCCACTGTATATGTATATTACAGTATGTATAATCTGTCTAGTTTTGTTGTAAGAAAATGTTTTGTTTGTCAAGGTGAGATATTTACCAAAATTTATACAATTTAATATTTCCAGAAAATTCCAGCAACGACTCCCATATGATCTCCTTTCTTCTCTGGCCCATGTGCTGCTTAATAATACTGTGTTTGAAATTGTGCAAGAGCTAGCAGAGCTTCAGCACATGACAGAGAAGAGCTTACACCAACAACGTTCTCAAATGATTAATAAACACAAAGGTGCGTAATGTAGATGTGCCAGTGCTCTTTCATTAAAAATTTCCATGGTTTGAACTAGGGTTGCAGTAGGACACATATAACACAATGTGAGGGAAAAGTTCAATAGATAGGTGTAGCGAGGGAGTATATAGTAACAATAGTTTCATTGCCGGTTACTTGTTGAGGTAGGGTCAGTCTAGTTCCCGCTATCCCTTTCCCTCCCTCTTCCCCCCCCCCTCCCCCAAAAGGTGACGTGTGGGGCTCCGGTCAAACAGTAAATCACTCGGCTCACAGCTCCCAATACTACTGTAAGTACACACCTGATCATATTTTAGTGGACTTATTGGTTGAAAGCTTCACTTTTGACCAATAATTAACTTAGTCCTTTCAGTCTTGATAGGTTAAAATGTTTTAATAATCACCACATCTTTTAGGTATTGTACTTATCATGGAGAGTGATTTCTTAAGCAGTGGGTAATCTGTCTCTCTTTACAGCTTGAAAGGACAGAGAGGGTAGAAATTGAAGGAGATGGACTAACGTTCTGAGGCGTCCCAATTTCTGATCCACTTACCTGTTTGTGTATGCAAGTAGCAGGATATAACCCCTCATCATTGCAGTGGAAAAAAACTGCTTTCCTGTCATCTGGACGGATTATTGACGGCTAGAAAATCTGTGAAGAACGAGCCGGTGGGTTGTCATCAACACCTGCAACCCCCCCCCATCATCGGCAACGGCTACGATTTCAACAACACGCACTGTCACCAACACCAGACACCCAAGTTATATATATATATATATTAGCGTTGAATTCAGATATCATTTATATTTTTCATTTTTCATTTTCTTTAAGGTAGGATTAATATTTCATATTTAAGTGTTTTATATTTTATATTTTCTAAATAATAAAGTGTTTGTTTGTCAGTTTTTGTTCTTTTTCTATTCATTAATTTTCCTGAGGAGGAGCCAGCCTCGGTAATACTGTCTGAAGTTGTTACAGGGCTGAGTAAGCCTTCACAAGTGGCGACCTTGCCAGGATCAACTTGACTGAATCAAGATTCAACTCCATCTCAATCTACCATTGGAACTTCAACGCCGCATACCACCGACAGTTACCACCAGCCATGAGTAATCATTCTCTATGGTAGGACTACAGTACAGGTATTTAAAAGATTTGGTGATTGTTATAGTCTCAATTTATTGTAAGTCAAGTCAGGCAGGATATAATATTTAATTCTGCCATCTTTTTGTTCGAGCTTGAAACACTTTGGAGGATTAGATTCTAGGGACCCGAGATTTTCCAGTGACAATTTGTTTCATTGAGCTCTTTATTTTATCAAGGGAACTGTCGTAGGACACTCTTGGTTTGTTGGTGAGAAGATTGGATGGTCAAGTGACCCCATTCTACTTACTGTTTGCTCGGAGCCAGCATAGAACCCTTCGTTTTCATTAATACATAATGTTTAATTGAAGCAGGGATCGAGCCCTCTGGTTTATTTACAGTTTGAGCGGAGCAGGAACTGAACCCTCCGTTTTCTCTAATACCCGTTTCATTTTCCCTGATAGTTTAAGTTATTCTTGCAAGTATGGAGGAATACCAGTTTTGGATGAACGCTGGAAGTAAGTTAGGAATAACAGGGAAAAATTTAGAATCTTTCATTAGTGCTAAGATCCAGGAAAGACTTGAAAGAGAGAGAATTGAGAGAGAAGAAAGACAGAAAGGAAAGGAAAGAAAGGAGAAGAGAATCGAAAGAGAAGAGATAAAGGAGAGAGAGAATTAAAGAGAGAATCCAAGAAAGACAGAAAGAGAGAGGAAGACAAAAGGAGTGAAGACATTGATATGAGGAGAGAGCTAGAGTACTGAAGAACAGAGTTAAATTATAGAGAACTTCGAAGGAAAGAGTAAAGGATAGAGAACTTGAGGAAAAGCTAGAGAACGTAGAAAGTAGAGAACGTGAGGAAAAAGCTAGAGAACTCGAGTTAATAGAGAGAAAAGGATCGCGAGCTCGAAAAAGCTCGCCTTGAATTAGAGAATAAAAAGTTAACTCTTACACAACAACAATTAGAGGAAGGAATAATTGAACATCATGCAGCTAGTGCACATATTCCAACACCTAATTTACCTCCCTTCACAGAGGGTGAAGACATTACTTCATACATTATCAGGTTTGAAAATACTGCTACCCTCTGTGAATGGCCTGCTGATACCTGGGCTACCAGGTTAGGAATGTTATTTTCTGGTACAGCCTTGAATATCTATGCAACTTTGTTGCAGGATATCATATGTAATTATAACCTACTGAAGAAGGCAATCCTTAAAGCATATCAAAAAACCACAAATTCTTACAGGAAAGATTTCAGGTATGCCACCTTACAGCCTGGCCAAAACTTTCAGCAGTTACAAGTAACACTCTTTCGTTTGTTCGACTTTTGGTTAGAGAGTTCAGGAATTGATCACAGTTATGAATCTCTTAAGAGACTTCATGGTTGCTGACCAGTTCCTGACAGCTCTTCCTCACCAGATATGAACATTCATCAGAGAACGTAACCTGATTAAAGCTGAGGAAGTTGCTGAGGCTGCTGACCTGTATGCTGAGGCTCACAATTCCTATAAGGACCTAAAGGGATCAAACCCTAAGGGCAAGGGCTCATCAGACCTTAAGAAATCAAAACCTCTAGTGGAAAGTAAAATGACTTCTTTTATTCCTGTTTGTCATTTGTGTGGTGTTAAGGGACATAAACGTCCAGATTGTCCTTCTAAGAAGGTCCAAAAAGTTGGAAGATGTTTTAAAGACTGTAATGACCAAGCACCCTTCTGTTCAGGAACAGTTAATGGACTTTATGTATCTACCATTTTACGAGACACTGGATGCACATGTATAGTAATTTCTGATAAGCTGTTCCCTAACCTTAAAGAAACTCATTCCTCTGCTATACTTTCAGACTACTTGGGCCGTACGGACACTTTTCCTACCATCCGTTGTTATATTAGGTCTAAATGGTTCACAGGTTGGTCTGAAGCTGTACTAGCTCCCATCACTTCTTGCTCCGTACTAATAGGTAATGTAAAAGGTGCCATTCTTCCTTCTGAGGTTGACCTTTCATCACCAAAGATGGGCGTAAGTGTTTCAGATCCTCTTCCTGTAGAGTCAGAGAAGCCCCTCGAAAGTTCAGATGAGACAATGTCTCGTGAGATTCATGTGGGATTAAAAACCAGTGATGCTACTCTCGAAAGCGAGGTGGTAGGATCACTGGTTCACTTGTTAGATGAAAGTGAAGATATCACCTCCGATACCATAAATGTCTTGACTAGGGCTCAGACCAAAGCCCAGGCTTTTCCTACTGTCCATCCTTTGATTTTCCCTGACTTTAAGCCTTTAGATATATCGAAGGACTCCTTTGTCAATTTACAACGTAATTGCCCTTCTCTTCAGAATTGCCATAATGCCGCTAAACAAAATCAAGTTATCCAAAGGAAAAACTTTTCATGTAAATTTGAATATATAAAAGGTATCTTGTACAAGTCAGTATTCAAATTAAATTCAGATGAGATAGACTATTCCATCTTAGTTGTTCCAAGTCAATGCAGAGAGACTGTTCTTAAAATGGCTCATGACCTGCCAGTGGCCGGACATTTCTCGCATCGTAAAACCTTAAATAAAATTAGGGAAACCTATTTTGGGCCAAAAATGTCCTCAGATGTCACTACCTATTGTAGATCATGTAAAGTTTGCCAACTGTCATCCTCCCGAGGTACCAGGCGAGTACCTATGGTCAAAATGCCAATGTTTACGGTACCGTTTGAAAGAGTAGCTATTGACATCGTTGGTCCTTTATCTCCACTTTCATCTGGGGACATAGATATATATTAACATTAGTTGATTATGCTTCGAGTTTCCCTGAAGCCATTCCCTTAAAGACCATAACTACTACAGAGGTGGCTGAAGTCCTTTTGTCCATCTTCTCCAGAGTGGGCATCCCTAGAGAAATTTTGTCTGACCGTGGGACACAATTCACATCTGACTTAATGCAACATCTATACCAACTTCTGGGAGTGAAGCCTCTCCACCACACCCTATCATCCCAGCTGTAATGGGAGGATTGAGCGCCAGCATTCGATTCTCAAGTCCATTTTAAGGAAACTTTGCTCCCTTAAACCTAAGGAGTGGCATCGTTACCTACCCTGTGCTTTGTTTGCCATGAGGGAAGTTCCCAGTGACTCTTTGGGGTTTTCACCTTTTGAACTTCTCTATGGTAGACAGGCCAGAGGCCCATTCTCCATCCTTCATGACTTATGGACTAATGAGGACGTAAAGGCTGAGGTTCAATCTTCTTACCAGTTTCTCCTTGACCTTAGATCCAAACTTGAGGAGACCTCTGACACAGTTTCGAAAAACTTAAGCTTGTCAATGGACCAGTACAAAACCTATTTTGATTCCAAAAGTCAGAGAGAAGTTTTAAAGTAGGAGATGAAGTTCTGGTACTTTTGCCTATCAAGTCAAATAAATTATTAGTAGCATGGAAAGGTCCATATAAAGTATTAAAAATTTGTGGAAAGTTGACTACCTCATAGAAGTCAAGGGGAAACCTAAGCTTTATCATATCAACATCCTTAAGAAATATTACCAAAGAAATTCGGTTAACTGCCTTAATAACTTTGACTTAGTTTTTCCACACGAACTTCATAAAACAACTGAAGAATGTAAGGTGTGCGTAATTGACACCTCAAATTTAGACTATGATGAAGAACTACATGACTTGGTGACTCTTGACCACTCGGGCACAACCAACATTAATATTAATGAATCTTTGGATGACCATAAGAGACATGAACTACTTCAATGTGTGAGTAACTTTTCAGACGTCTTTACTGATATTCCAGGTGTTACCTCCATGGTAGTCCATAAGATTGACTTAGTGACGGACAATCCTATCAAACGAAAATTATACCCAGTTCCAGTTCACCTTAGGGATGCATTTGACCGAGAGGTAGACAAATTATTAAATTAAAGATCATTGAACC